CACACTGGATAAGAGGACATCCTCGGCTTTCATAACTCCTTCGAGGAGCACATTTGGGCCGTGATATCAAATTCTTCTAGTTGATCAAATAGACTTGATTATTAATCCCATAAAATTTGGAAAATAAATCAAATGTTGTTTTGTACCGGTGTTGAAAACGTTCTAATTGTGAACATCAATCCCGATATTGTTTGAGTGTAATTCTTGGAAATTCGTATCCAGTGTCACATTCGAAATAATCTACAAAAACAAAAATATAGAACAAGTAAATAACAAAACTTCTCAGTAAATCAGGCACTCATACCTTTTGTCACATTACACAGTGGACAAAAGTGCATGGCCACGCGCTTTCTTCAACCTGTGTAATGATGCTGACGCCGGGAAATCACTCAGCGTGAAAAACTGCAAAACAGCGTTGTTTTTGACCATCAACATCAATCTTAATGGTGTCATGGACAATTGTACTAATATTGAGAGTCTAAAACGATGAATAAATTTTGAAGTAAGTATATCTATGTACATTTGATGTTAGGAACTCAGGAATTCCGAAACTCCGAAATTCATTGAATCATATATATTTAAATGAGTCAATGAATTTCCGAGTTCCTGAGTTCCTAACTACACATATATACAACCATATATGTATATGAGCCAACGGATTTGTGAGTTCCTGAGTTGCTAACATGAAACATATACAAACATATATGTATATGAGCACATGAATTTCTGAGTTCCTGAATTTCTAACTTCAAATATGTACAAACATACATGCATATGAGCCATACATATACGTACATGAGCCAATGAATTTCTAACTCCGGAGTTCCTGAGTTCCTAACATCAAATATATACAAACATATATGTATATGAGCACATGAATTTCTGTGGTCCTGAGTTCCTAACATGATACACATACAGAACTCAGAAACTCATTGGCTCATATACATATATGTTTGTATATGTTTGATGTTAGGAACTCAGGAATTTCTCACAGTTCCTAACATCAAACATATAGATACATATAGGCGTATGAGCGCATGAATTTTCTCAGTTCCTGAGTTCCAAACTTCAGATGTATAGAAACATATATGTATATGAGCCAACGCATTTGTCAGTTCCTTAGTTCCTAACATGAAACATATACATACGTACATGTGTATGGGCCAATGAATTTCCTAGTTCCTGAGTTGCTAACATGAACATATACAAACATATATGTATATGAGCACATGAATTTCTGAGTTCCTGAATTTCTAACTTCAAATATGTACAAACATACATGCATATGAGCCATACATATATGTATATGAGCCAACGCATTTGTGAGTTCCTGAGTTCCTGAGTTCCTAACATCAAACATATAGATACATATATGTATATGAGCACATGGATTTCTGTGGTCCTGAGTTCCTAACATGAGTTTTTCAGAAACTCTAAAAGATAACTAAAACCTTTCTTAATGAGGCATGATTGTAGCCCGCACATTTCTGATTAAAACGAGATATCTCTCAACTCTGCACAATCTTTCTTTTCAAAGTTATAGAATTTACAAGAAAAGCCCTAAATTAATTTCTTCTTATTTCGGTAGTTCTGAGCTGACAATGAACGGTTGTAAATTTTATAACTTTGGAAAGAAAGATCGTGTAGAGCTGAGAGATGTCTCATTTTAATCAGAAATGAGGCTACAATTATGCTTCATTAAGAAAGGTTTGGGTTATTTCTTAGAGTTTTTGAAAAGCTGCTGTTCCAGAAAACCGGTCTCTGGAGGCCTAGACGCACAAACCACTATGATATTATCAGCACACACGATTACCTATTGTCCACTAGGTTTCGAGAAAAAAGCGACCGGACAGTTGGAGTGGTTTCCTCGTGAGACAATACAGATACTCTGAACTTTAGAGACTATGAAATTCTAAGCACTTCTCAATTAAAAGAACAGTGACTTTCTAAAAGTGTCAGATTCCAAGATTGCGAAGCTCAACTTAGTTTTTGCCTCATAGAATCCTCATCTGTTACTCTTCTGAAATTCTGAACCTCTGCAATAACAGATGTTTTGGAATTCAAACAACGGTATTATTATAACTTCTAATAGACTAACAACGGAAAACAGTAGAAATTCTGCAGAGAAACGTAAGGTGGCACTCTAAAGGGTCAGAAAAATTTTTTCATACAGTTCCTAAAAATCTTTCTCTTACGCCGTATAAGCACTGACAAAATACGAAAACTACATCAGTCGATAGAAGAGAGTGCGGACTACATTTAAGTAAAAAATAATTTTGAAAACCTTTTTCCTTAGGATGAAAACCAAGGGGGGAAAAGTGCACTTCGTGGAGTGCCGAAGTGCTCGGAGTGTCAGGAGTGGTTTGGACGGGTACGAAGTGGTTCGGAGTGCCGTGGGCTTAAGGAAACTGAAGGAATTTTATTCACCTTAAAGCTAAATCAGAGGCTTCTGAATTAATAAAGTTGTCTTTCTCTTTCTTTTTACTCAACAGGTCTGTAATATGAGTAAGTTTTCAATTTCTACAGTATGAAGGGCCGAACGGATTTTGATTAATTTCAGTACTCAAGGGTTTTGAGCGATGTTCTGTCCGATGGCTAATTCGAAATAATTTTAAAAGTGCCGAGAGTAGGGATTTCAGAAAACCAAGGTTTTTCACTCATCCATTTACATAAAACAATTTATTTTTGATTCTTTCTTCTGTGTGTCTGCTCAGAATCGAATTACTCTGTATATAGAAAGATAGAGCAGTTTTCGCGCTACAAAAGGAGACGTTGCAGAGCTCTGAGCGACATTATTTCATGAAACAACATTTAGTTTATAAAACGGCGTGAAGGAATGTGTTTCTCGTTCTGTCGGTAATTTTGCTGGTATGCGACCTTTAGTAAATTGAGTGCTGTTTCATGAGAAAATATCGCACAGAGTGTGACGCCGTCTCGTTTTGTTTAGAAATGTGTGCTCTACACGACTGGATTATTTACAGAGAATTTCCTGGCCGCATTCCGGGATTTAGTTTTCTGACATTTTGGTTTTCCAGAGATCCTGGCTTTAGAAATTTTTGATAGAACATTCACATACACCACATCAGTTTGGAAATTCTTTCGGCTATTTAAAGCTTTTTTTCAGATTTTTTTCTTCCCTTTATGTTGAGAAGAAATACATAAACACATCGTTTCAATAATTTTGTCCAGTAATCTAGGTGAAAATTATGATATTTCTCTAGAATTTTGACAATTCCTATATGGGCATAATTTCAGAAAGCTTATTTATAGCTCATTTTGTAGCGTAGAGAATTCTCTACCTGTTTGTATTTGAGTTCTTGTCAAATGATTCTGAAATTATATGGAAACTTTGAGGAACAAAGTGAGTGACCATTGTTCACATGGTGACGAAAAATGAGAAGAAAGTTTATTTTCAAGGAGACTAGGAGCACTTTTTGAGTGTTGGGAAGTGAAAACAGATTTGCCGTCATTTTCGCTCAAAATCGTATTGGGCCATTTTCTTACAGAAACCATTTCCCGTCCTTTCTTCATATACAAACAGCGTGTTGATTGTTAACTAATAAAAATACTCGTTTATGATCGGATAGATTAACGTGAGTAGTATCACTAATTTCGAAATGAGTAAATAGGATTAAAAATGAAAAGTTTTTTTGTACACTTGGTTATGAAATATACGATATCCTCCATAGTCAGAATGAGTACACTGATATAAGGAGAAACACGATTAAATTGTTTCAGAACCCTACCCCTCAGAAATTATCTCCGGCACCGTACATCCGATTTTGGTCAAACTTTCCATAAATGTTAGGTTTAGTGAGTTACGGGAATGAAAAAATTTTTTTGTCTCCAAGTCTTACGATTTAGCAGTTTTCAGAGATCAAAGTCCAAAAAGGACCCTGACGTTTTTACCAAGACTTTTTAATATACTTCAAGCTGGAGAGTTCGGGTTTGTTTTATTTTACACTAGACACCTAACTACATGGACTGATTGAAGCCGACTTTTCAATTAAGCCTTTATTGATTTTCCAGGCAACCAACAACCTCCAAAACTCGAAAAATCCTTCCGAGTCTTCTACAAATCCTTAATTTGACAAAAACTAAGACCTAATTCAATAATCGGCGCCGGTCAGCCCATGTAACTTCTTTTTCGCTTTTAAACAAAAAAAGAATGAGCTCTCTATGACAAACCGTTATTAAAAATCTTGGGAAATACTTCAGGTGTAACTTTTATATAGAAAAAATGCTGCATTAAACGCTGTATAAAATACCCAATTTCAGGACTTGTACGAAAATGCCCGTAACCTTTTAATTCAAGGTCATACGGAGTTGCGCGAGGTCTAATTTGGTCACAAACGTTTGCTATACAAATCTACCTGTTCAGAAAAATTTCAATTGCCTAAGTATCCATTTAAAACTACAAGATGTATCCATCTCTGTTTTGAGCATTTAATGCCAATACATTTGATTGAAATACACTATCATAAATATATTTTCCATCTAATAATTTACAATAGTGTAATGCTGTATTACCAAGTGAATCTAGTACATTTAAATTTGCTACATCTATATGTTGTAGAAAAATAGCTAATAATTTAAAATTTTTTTGTTCTAATGCTTCAAGAAATGGTGTACGTCCAAAACGATTTTGTCTGTTAAAATCAACTTTTGATTGTATTCATTTTTCAATATATTTTCCATAATCAATATCCTTTTTTATTTACTAAATAATGTAAAAATGTATTTCCTCTTTCATCACAAGCATTAATATCTAAATTATGTTCAATTAATATTTCAATGGCTTGTATTGTAGCAAAATCACATAGAAGTGGTGATCGTTGTAATTGTGAAAAATATCGTTTCCAAATTAAAATTAAAATTTGTATCAAATATTGCTTTTAGACATGAATCATGTTGATATTTAACACAAATACTAATAGGATTTTCATTTGAATTTAATCGTGTACCCTTGACAAAATCAGCAGCATTTTCTAATAGAGCTTTTAAGCATCTACATTATCTTCATAACAACTAATGTGTAAACGAGAACAACCATCTTCATCAAATACATTTGCACGAACTTTATAAGTTTTAATTAGTATACGAATTAGTACACTGTCATTTTTACGTGCAGCTGTATGAATCAATTGTGTTTGACTAGGATAATCTTTAAGAATAGAAAAAAGAAAAAAAAAAGTAAAATTAAACTGATCGATATTATTTCATTCTACATCGTTGTCTCCTTCTCAATGAACGATATTATTAACACTTAAAAGTCACAACTAGAGATGGGCACCGGGACCAAAAAAACTTTTTTGATCCGGTAAAAGATTTGAGTGCCATTCCATTAACTTTAGTGGTAAACTATTATTTGACCACGCGTTGTATACAGAAATGTTTGCTCTTTCAGCCTATGGATTTTAAAGTATATCACAGACCTTTGTTATCAATTAATTTAGCAAATATGATGACCAGTACCAGATTGGTCCCGGCAATGTGGTCCCGGTCATTGTATTTGTTGATTAATTGATAACGAAGGCCCGTGACATACTTTAAAATATATAGACCGAAAGAGCAAACATGCGCGGTCAAATAATAGTTTATCGCTAAAGTTAATGGAATGGTACGCAAATCTTTTACCAGGACTAGAAAAATGTTTTGGTCCCGGTGTCCATCTCTAGTCACAACGAATGAAAATTTTATACTATAATTAAATAACATACCAAAATGTGCTTCAGATGAGTGTACTGTAACGTCGATCATTATTTTTAAAAGATATATCACCACATCTGTGTTTCTTGCAGCCAGTGCATAATGTGCTAAAATGAGATAAATAAATATTCTTCGTCAATCATAATTAGTAGTTTTTTACCAGCTGTCCAACCATGATCATTTTGTCTACTAGGATCACATCCTTTTGTAATTAAATATTGAACAATATTAATACGTTCGGACGATTGTGAATCAGCACATGCTAATAGATGTAGTGGATTATTTCCATCTTCAGTAATTGCATTTAATTGTGATCCATTTTTCTCAAATTCTTGTATAATATTCAATTGAGGTTGTGGTTCAGATAAGATATAGGACAAAATAGCTTTATTTTGTACATGAGAATTGAAGAAGGCTTCGGGTATTTGACTACGTCCAAATAATGTTCTTTTAGCATCAGTTAATTTTGCTAATAGACCCGATTTATTTCCAGTTGTATCAATAATTTCTCGTGATTGATAACGATCTGGCGTTTCATCGCGATGCGATAAACTTTGCATTGAACCTGATCGGGTGACAGATGTTTCTATCTTTTGCGGTAACAACTGATGCTGCTGACTGGATGTAATCGAACTCTCGGTTGGATGAATGGAATGCCTGAAAAAATAAAAAATTAATCATCATATTGAACTTTTGAATATGAAAACATAACAGAACTAGGCTTAGTTTATCATAATTTCGATTAACTTGAAACAACTGGTTTTAAGAGTGTTCAACCAGTCTATGTACAATTTCGTACTTTTCCTTAGAAAGTCAACTTAAATATCTATAATAGTCTTACATCATCAAACAATAACATTAATACATTTCATTATTGACCTTTAATTAACCCTCTATTTGAAATTCAATATAAACTTTTATTATTGCCAATCCTTTATGTTTATTACTATCTTTAATATCATTCCTAGAGAGCAAAAGAGTCTCATACTGTGCACGTATTCTTCTCTTCTACGGCAGAATCATTATTGTATAATTATGTAGTAGTTGGATATACTTATATTGTTCTTTTCTTGTAGTGTAGTAAGCATATATGTGCATAATAATATTTGACAGTTATCTCTATTAATCAATATTTTGATGAATTATTTTCTCAATAGAATATAAATAGTAAAAAGAAAAAATACTTCGTTGGCTTAATCACAACACTCATTGTTTATTTCATTGATTAACTACCACCTGGAAAGTCCCAACATTATCCACAACGAACAAAACAAATGAACTAATTATTAGAACGAGAGAGAGAATTTGACAATATAGACAAAACAGATGTGCTGTACATTCCAAAGAAGAAAAATTATTTTACTATTAGTTGGATTGAGAGAAACATAGCATGTACAGTATTAGTTCACTGATCCAGTAAAAATTAATTAGTATATTGATATATGCATACATTCTCTGCTAGCTTTCTCGCAGATTAGTCCTAAATAAGGATATAATATCGACTATATTGTTCATTAAAAGTGATAGTAGTCCTTGAAAACTAAATGAAACACATTTTCAGAAGATGAGTCGAAACAGATTAGCTACCTTTTCTGCATCTATCTACTCCTTTCTATCTATACAAAGTAGAGTGATTAGCGTGAAAATCAATGAGTATTATAGACATGAATGATGCTGACCCACCGGTTTGGTGGAATGCTACCGAGTCTTTCGAACGTTAGACTACCCGGTTACATTTTCTTAAGGCTATCTAATATATCATTTTGATGCCCGTGAAATTCTCTATCGAATGACAAACAGTTCAGATATCACGAAATAGATAGATTTTATTTGAGAAGATCTTTCCGAGGAAACTCAAACGACCTTTCTGTGGACTCAAAAAAATTCAGACTATTAAAATACTAGGATAGTTCGAAGGATGTTTTCTATAGACGTAAAATGTATTAATTGTCCCGAATACTGCAGATTCTGTGTTCAAGTAGTCATATTGCTGTTGAAGCGTTCAAGAGATAAAAAAGCGAATTAAAACAGATATAAACAGCCGCATTGTTGTCGATGAATTTTCTAATATTTTAATATGTTAATCTTCACTTTGAAATTTTATTATTTCGAACATAATATATCAAAGAAATTTAATTCTTGTGATCATTCCGACGATAATTCATTGTTGAAACTGTAACTAATCAGTCAAAATTAGGCCTCAGCAGAAAGGTTAAATATAACATATACATTCTGAAAAAATACAAGTTATTTTAGGCATGTAAGGAGAGGAGAGCTTTACATTCATGAATACGATCAATAATAAAAGACTTATTTAATAAGACCTAAAAGTAAGGACAACCTTTTATTTATTATCTGAAAAAATATATGAAAAGTACATGCTTTCTTTCACATTCATTCGCTAGAATGTTTTACTCCTGTGTATAAGAGTTAAACTATTCCATAAGTTATTTGAAAACTTTGATCCAGGATAATTGCAGAGAAGCATGATTTCTAGAAAACAGATTTTTCATGTTTTCGGCTGTGCGGTTAGATATTCTCTAAAGGTGAATTTCTCAATGCACTGTTATCATGTATACCGTCCAAATAAATAAATGCGTCTTTTGCACTAATACTGTATAAGTAACATTTCATAGAAGCATATTTGCACACTATTTCAGCTCTGTTAAAATCAGCGAACACATTTTACTGAAAGGCTGATTTTGACAGACTTTTTCAGTTTGGAAATCGTTTTTTCTCTTCGAGTGTCATTTTAGATAATATAAAAGCTGCCCAGATAATTAAATTTCTTTGTAGTTAGTACTTTCAGTGTAAATATTCAAACATGTTTGAAATGGTAACTATTACTATTTATATCGTTTTTAGCATGAGTTTTCCAATTTTCCAATAGAAACGAACCATTATTTAGAGAAAGAATGCCAATAGATTGTAACTCTCATTTTGTTACAGCATGATTTCATACATATCATACAGAAAGCGCTGAATCGCAGCGATTATTTTTTCTTGCAATTGCAGAGGGCGTTAAAAAAAACTAGGATTTAAGCTAGAATCTAAGGGGAAAAGGAAA